GGCAACATCGATGAATTTGATGAGCACGAACCAGTTCATAAAGAACTGGTTCGGTTTGGGGATCAGGGAGGTCTGTATGAATAACATTGTCATTTATTAAATTTGGAATTGACCTATCGAGATAAGCTATTCCGTGGGTATGTATACTGCCGCGATTTTGAAATTCATCACGTTCAAAATGGTGCAGCCATTTACCCCATTCTGATAAATTTTGATTTTTCCATAGTAAATTCCGAATGGAATTTAGTTGTTGATGGTAATGGAAATAAGTATGCAGAGGACGATTTGATGGTAAAGTGCAATGGTCATCAGTATGTGATAGAATTTTTAATAAGTGTGGCTAAAGCCCTTCAGCCATAGTCATAGTATAGAAAATTTGAGGTAGACCAAAACTTTGAACCATCGCGTTACAGAATGCTGTCGTTGACGAAAATACGTATCACTAGTTCGAATAAAAGAAGGGAGTGTGGTGGTTAATGTTTCATTAATAATCGGGCGATTATCGTAAACACTTTGATTAATTAAATCTATAATAGTTGGAAGTTGTTGGCGATTCATATTTCGTTGACGTAAAATACGTTGTCTGTTTTGATGATTTCGTAGCTTTTCTAAATTGACATAAGACCAATATGGCCAATACCAGTGGAGACGGAATCGAGAATCTGGACATAATAGTCGAAGTTTAATATATTTTGAATACGTATCAATATGGTTATGCCGATTATTTAACTCTTTAGAGAGTTCACCCCAATGGCCGTGTCTATCCGGAAAGAGATCAGGAAAAAGTATAGCTTCTAAATTAGGATCATTATATGGAATTGGTAATTCTATATTATTAGGATCTCTTAAGAAACCCGCTAACAGTCTACTATAATGAAAATCTTCATTGTGAATTTCAGGGTCAAAATCATACGGTGGTATTATTATATCTGGATGATGTCGTAACGGAGTGTCATTAGTTAATATATCATCCTCGCTTATCACCTGGGCAGTTGGGAAAACATTCGGAGACGTGTAAAAACAACGGATGAAAACATTCGATCAAATTCTTTAAAGAATCTATTATTGGTTTTCAACCAGTTTGCTGCATGTAGCAAAGACGGATGAAACCAATTTTCACTAGGTGCTGAATCTAATATTGCACCTAACATTCCGGAGTAAATTTGTAAGGCACAAATATTTTTTGAGAGACCAAATGCACCAGTAAGGTGGCAATAGTGTGTAAAACAATTAGCAATTTCAGCACGCCCGAGAGAGCAACTTAAATTAATAGGCGAAAGCCACCGGCGATGAAATATTGGAACATTAGCTAGAGCGTCTGGAATCTGAGCAAGCGTTGGATCGATGTGATGCTTAGCAATAGATATACAAGAAGAACACACAGCGATATAATTTTCTTTATTAGGATGTTCAGTAAGCGATAAATGGGGGAAAGCTCGACAAAGGTCGTATTCCATACTGACATCGCATGAGACCCATCTTGCTTGGACAGGAAACATAAGAACCGAACAATGTGAACAAGGAACACACAGAAACATATATAAAATTTCTGTTTGAAAGCGATTATGGAGTGAAAGTAAAGAACAGGAAGGTTGCCAGGGAGGAAAAGAATTAAAGTTGGAAGTAGTTTGATGTTGATCTTCAGTTAAAAAAGTAGATGCAAAAGTAGGTGCTCGCGGATGGTTAGCATTAGTATTTATTTGGGTTTGTTGACTTAAAAGATCATCATTACGTAAATCATGGTAAGGATTATCCTGATCTAAATTAACTATAGATATTTGGGTTATTGGAAAAGACATTGTATGTTTGA